AGGGTGAGGGGTCACCCACGGATTGCTTCATGAAGAGGACTGAAGGTGCCCTGATCTTTCTCATCTCTGCCTGTTTTACTGATGCTCTGCCAAAAGGCTGAGTAATCTTCCTCAAAAGGCAATGAATTCCCCAAATGTCTGCCTCAAGGACATCTTTGTGCACTGAGGCTTTCAGTGTGTATGTGCAAATGTAAGGATGTCTGACGTTGCTGGTCTTATTTTTAAACTTCTGTTAGAAAATGTGTTTAAATGCCATGACATAGACATTCTGCCAGGCTAGTTAGTTTATCTTCATTGCACTCATTGCAGTGATGTTGATAAAAGCATTTAAGTACTGCATTGTAAGATCCAGCTCTGTACATTCTAATTACATTCATGAATATTAACTATATATTTTGAATTAATTGTGTGATACTTTCACATCTTGAAAACAGTTTTTCATATTCAGGGCATTTCAAATTTTTTTTTTCTTTTTAATACTGTCTTCTCAGAAATTTGTCTTCACCTTGCAACCTCATATTTTGTGACAGTTCTTCTGGAGGTTATTTTTACATTCCAGTCTTGCCTTAAGTATTCTAGTGTTATATGGGGTTATTAAGTAGTATTTTGTATTCTGCACATCCTGCTCTTCCTGCAGGTGCCAGTTTAAAACTGCCAAGGGAGAGACTATAAAAACCATTAGAAATTAATTTCTACGTCAATAGTTTGAGTGTGAATATTACCTTTTCCTCTAAAAGTTCAGTGTCTAGCTGCTTGTCTTATTTTGAAAAGCGTATCTTTATCAGTTGTCCATATTACAATAAAGGCAACCTTTTTGTGATTGACTTCATAGCTGAAGATGCTAATTTTCAAGGTAGGGTTGTTTTCTTTCTAACCTATGTGTTAGGTCTTATTTTTCCCTGCTGCAACTCTCATTCCTACTATATAATCAGATTCTGGGGTCTGGTCTGTCTCTGTTTGGCACAGCTTCGTAAAGAGACAGAGTGGTTCTTCTGTCTTTAGTGTATATTAAATTCTCTGGACCCAGGAGAATTTCCATGGCAGCTGGAATTCATTTAAATGAGAGAAAATCCTTTCTCCACTTCCTGTGCTGCCCCTGCAGCTGGTGCAGACCCACCTTGGTCTGGACTACATAAAATTTGTATTACACCAAAGAAACTCCAGCAAGTGAGTAATTCCACATTAGGATGTTTTGCATTTGTCTCCCCAGTTCAAAACAGTTCCTGTATTTGGTAATTTATTAGGGACAATGAAGATAGTTAAGGACGGTTTAGTTAACAAATCAGAACAAGTAAAAGTTTCAGATTCTGAAACAGTGCTAATATTTTGGTATCAAGATTGTTCTCGCTTTGTCACAACTTAAAATCTTTAAACTTGTCCACTGCATTGATGAGCACTGGACTAAGCCTTAATCCACTAAATTTAGCTGAACTTTTCCAGAAAGAGTTGATGTGCTGACAATGAACACCCAACACTGAGTTTACTATGTTGCCGTAAAAAATATATGATATTTGTATGTAATGTACAATTTGTAACTGGTGTAACCCAACATGGTGGTGGGTTTTGCTGCTAATTTATAGGAGTTCTCCAAGCTTTTGTACTACATAAGCTGACTCAGGACACATGATAATATTACACTTCTGTCTTAAGCAGCAATAGGAAGTGTGATTTTGAATTAGCATCCAACACCCTGAGTTCTCACAAGTACCTGCTAACTACTTTTGCCAGGTCAGGAGCAGAAGGGCATGAACTGCAAGGATGTTCTTGCTGAACAACGCTGCCAATAATGGAAGCCCAACTAAAGTTATCCTCCTTGATTCTGCTTTAGTGAATGGGGCAACATGATGCTTGAGACATGAGGATAGATGGAGGGCTCGTGTGTCTGCCTTTTTTGCCTGGGAGGTGCTTGGTATATGATAAGGACTGTGGCAGACACCCACAGTGAGCAGCAAAGTCAGAGCTGGTTTAGTATTTCTGTGTCTGCTGGTGTCGCTCATATCTCTGAGGGCAGGTTAAAGTGAGGTTTGATAAAGGGAGTTTGACCGTTAGTACCGATACCCATTGTTCACAGAACATAAAACTGCCAATGGTTTGTTCTACTTATGGCCATTTGTCTTATAATTTGACTTAATACAATAAGAATCCTCTAAAACTATCAGGCTCCCAACCATGACTTTGGTCTGGCTTATAAATACATCTTTGCTCCCAGAGATGTCTGAACTTATACCTGGCACCATCTCCTCTGGCTGCCCTTGCATCTGGTGATTCCCACTGGATAGACCGTAAAAGTTTCCTCCTTCAGGGACAGAATCTTCTTTCTCTTCCTCAAAGACCTTATGACTTTCTCATGCACACACATACACTTGGGTTGTAGATGGGAAACAGGATATTCAGAGGAAGATGTAAAAACCAGCATGTCTTCACTTGCACCCAAAATGGCAGTTCCTCCACCTTGCATCTAGCTGTACCATTGTGAGTTTGGATGCTAACTACCTTCAAAACCACTTCAGATATAGACCCTCTCTTTTTCTCTCCTGACAGTCTGAAGACTCCAAGAAGTGAAGTGCAGAACTTAGTTTTCTGAATGCACTGCATGTGATAGTGCTGCTGCTGTGTGGGTTTATCACAGTCCTTAAAGGAGGACAGTGAATGGCGTAAATACAGTAGGGGCTGTCTGCAACACCAGGTTAAAAAAAAATTAGTCTGCACCCCACTAGAACATAGGTCATTGACAATTTTTTAAAAGTATTTTTTTGCTAATGCTAGAAATAAGTTATTCTTCTACAGAACTAAATCATTTTTTATGCCACATTCTGCTGAATTTTCAGAAAAATGCAGTATCCATCCCATCCTGTAAGGAGTGCATGCTGTTCATGAAAAGGTGTCTGCATTTCTAGAAAAGTTATGCAACTACTTTACCTTTATAATGTTTGAGTTCTTACAGAATCTTTTGTTTTGTTCCCATGTGAAACTCTGAAACTGTACTCAGAATCCCCTTCTTAAAGCCCTGAAATCAAATGCAGGGTTTTGGGGTAAGTTCTTCATAATCCTTACTAATTTTGTAAGTTTTGCACTTTTTGTTACAACGTTTTCACTAGGGAAATTTATCCCTAAGGCTGTAATTACTTTGGAAAAGCATTTTTATGTTTCCTTTCAATGCATCCTGGAGAGGATTCTCCCAGATTTAACTACAATAAAAGGTCTTCACATACCACAGACTCATTTCAAGTGACACGTGTCCACTGAGCTATGCTTGGGGAACAGAGGATGGGCATTCCTGTTAAGTGCTCTTAATGCACCTCTCTCTGTGCATTGCAGCTGCTTCAAGCTGTTGTGCAAGTGTGCAGGACTAGACCATCACTGAAGCATCACTAAGCTGTCTCCACATTGGCTAGAGAGGATGGTTGGTCTTACCCTTGTGCATTGTGCTGTATTGGTCCCTGGAGATGGCTGGTGTTGTACATTGAAGCACCTGAGGATATGGACCAACAAGAGCACAGCTGAACCTGGATAAATTGCAGTAGTGGTTCAAATCAAGTTTTCCCTCCATTCACACCTTGCTTCTCAGTTAGACAATACCAGTATTATGTAAACTTCTTTCTTTGCTGCACTTGTGAGAAAAATTATTATTGTCTTTAAATGGGAAAACAAATTTTGCAGATGTTTTCTTCCTTTCCCTGTGACAGTGTTGGAGTTTATCAAAAGTTAAATGGAAATATATTTTTGGAAGCCTGTAATTAAAATCCTGGCAGCATACCATTGTAACTTTTTTTTCTGTAGCTCAATTCAGTAAGATTTCCTGTACTGATAAGATTTTTTCTGGATAGTGATTAATTTTTGCATTGGTAGATAAAACCCTTGCAGAAGCAAATTCATGATACTGGGACTTTTCTTCAGGCATCAGATCTGCCTGATAGTCTCCTGAGATTAAAAGACAGATTTCCATTAAGAGCAGAATAGAGAGACTAACATGCTTCTAAACTGATACTAAGTTAAAGGCCTTCTTCCCTTTGGAGAAGGTTCGGTGGTATGAATTTTCATGTGTGTATTTCTTGGCATTTTTTTTTTTAAGTCAGAAAATTTGGAACTAGATCTTCGAGGTCCCATCCAATCCAAACATTATATAATTCTGCAAAAGGTGAAACTCAAACAGCAATGGGACTTGAGATTTGAGATTTTTGGTTTTGCCTTTTGTTTGTTTATTTTAATGAAAGCCACTGAGGGGCAGCAGATAGTAGCTGATCTCGTTAAAAAGAAAAAAAAAAAAAAGTTGCGTTTTGGGTCCAGTGTTATCTTACATGAGGAACTAAGCTTCAGAAATGAGGAAATCACCCTTCCAAAAGAAGGGAAAGCAGATAACGCACTGAGGTTAGGGATGATTAAACATTTGCCACAGAAACAAATAAAGCTTTGCAATAAGATGTTTCCAAAGCTATGGATTCCCACATACACCTCTGTTCCTTCCGGCAGACAGGCACTTGGCCTTAGGGTAAATTGCAGACTGTATTTTACTTCTGCTCATGCCATTAAGTAATTTACTTTTTAATCTGACATTAGAAAATCGGTGCTTCGGGAGCGCCTGTGGCTCCAACACGGACGGGATATCGCCACTTTACCGGGCGGCTGTCGAGCGTTCCCGCATCAGTCTGATGCTGCAGTCATTTCAGCTGGACATTTACATATCCTTGCTGAAGTCCTGGGAGTCCCCTAAGCCTTCGAGCAGACCCAGAGCAGTTACATGAGAATGGGAATAATCTCTTACACCGCAAATTGACTTCCCTCTTTGTAGCCCTAGACACTGTTTCCAGCTGCTTTCAGTCTTTTAAATCCTTGAAAGCTTTCTTAATCCTCGTGTAGGCAGCAGCCTTTATGCGCTCTGCCTCCCTCCCCTTCCTCCTGATTGGCGAGGCTATTCCGTGGCCCAGCTCAGCCAACTACTCCATCCCTGGGCTACGGTTTGAAATCAGAGCCAGGCGGACAGTTGCCTCCCAGCTCCCGACTTTTCATAGGCTGGGGAAAGAAGGTTGGGAAACTTGACATTGTCGTAAGACTCCCCCCAGCAAAAGAATAAAAAGGAGGGGAAAATAATAGACAAGGAAGAGGAGGGAGGGAAACTTGATTACGGTGGGAAACTTGATGGATTTCTGCCCTGCCGACAGCAGCGCGGTGTGAGCAGCCCCTTGCCGGCTGGATGGATGATGGGAATCTCACCATGAGGCAGGTAAGGAGCCTCTTCCCGCCGACCCCGGGTACTACCGGTTCCAACCTCTGTGGAGCTTGGCTGCTTTTTTTTTGAACTGCTCTTTTTTTCTTAGAATTGTTTAAAGTAAGTTTCCGGGGTGGGAAAAAAAAATTAAAAATTACAGATTTATTTTTTTTTTTTTGCTTAATCCTCCCAGTAAGCAGGGATGCCATGCAGGTCATGGTGCGTTTGGGGTTTGTGGGGAGCATAGAAGCGGTTTGCGAGGTATGTAAATCAATTCCAGTTTGCCATGGTTTAAGTGCATTGTGTAGGCTGTCTCGCAGCGCCTGTTTGTGACATGAGAAAGGAAAGAACTTGCTGTGTTATAAGCCTAAATATGCCAATAATTCAGCCCAGGGATAATTTATTAAACAGCCCTGCATGAGCTCCTTGCCTGCCAGTGCTTTAATCTTCTGATTGTTTTAAAATGTAGTAGTTTCAAGCTGTTTTACAGCTTCACAAAAGTACTCCAGGATGGGTTTTCTAGGGATTCTTTTTCTAAGATTATTCAAATGAGATTTTTTTTAGACTTCTATTCACCTGAGGAGACAAAAGGAGCTTTTATTCTTGTTCTCACAGTTAAAAGGCACAGTGACAAAATGTTTTTGATTCTCGTTGTTCATAGTTTTACAGCAACAATGTATGCTTAGAAGAGCCTTGTGGGAGCAAGAAAAACTGGCTTTATCTTAAGACCGAATCAAGGATCTGTCCCAGTTTAAAAACCCTTGCCAATACACTTCCGAAACTTGCTCTTAATATGTTATTTTCTAGGGAGGCAATGAGTAAATATGAGGAAATGAGAGAAGTTTTCTAGGTTCTTTTCTGTGTGGGTGTTATTCATTCAGTTCTCAGTGGGACTTTTATAGTACTTGTCCAGGGAATGCATGTGTGAGGATTTTGCACCTGTAGTGCAAATGGAGCATTTGTTTTCCGCTCACTTTCTGAAACCATGGTGGGAAATTCCAGCTTCCTTATGCCAGTTTTCTATAAGTTATAGGAGGTGGGAAAGGGTGAAGAAAGAGAGAACATAGGTGATAGGAAGAGGAAAGGTATTTCTTGCTCCCAGTAGCAAAACAACCACCTTTTGTAGCCCTTTAAAGAGAGGGAGGAATTCTTGTCCTTGCAAAGCACAATGAAGGGCATTTTATATACTCAAGTTGGTCAGCTTGGATGCACGTAGTCATCAGAAATCATTATCACCACAAGAGGGTACTTTGGCACAGGGGGTTGCCAGTGAGGAATGTGAAAGAAGCAGAAATGTTACAGGATGGCAATAATAAAGTACAAAGTGCTCTGTGAAACGCACACTTTACTCTCCTGAAATATTTCTACCTAAAGGATAAGGCTTCTTGGGTAATGAAGATTCATAGATGGTGGGTTAAAAAAGCAAGGAATAGAGAGGGTGGAAATGCTAAGGCAGATACATACCCTCCCTTCCCCTCCAAAAGAGGAGGAGGGAGCGGGGGGGAGACATTCCATCCTGAAGAGAAGTGCAGGCTCGTTCTTGCCAGGCCCGTCCCGTCCCGTCCCGGTAGGTGCTTGCCTCCCCTCCCTCTCCCGCAGGAGCGCAGGGAGGGGACGCGCTGCCGAGGGGGCTCCCGCGCCTCTTCCGAGGGGAGCGAAATGGGTTGGGGAGCATTCGGCTGGGGCGCGGCCAGAGTTTGTTTAAACACCTGCCTGTGAGTGCGGTTTCTCTCTCCCGTGCCAAGGGAACAGTTTGAGAGTATTTCTCTGGGTTCGGCTGTTTTGCTGTGCACAAATATTTTCAGTTTGGGAAGGGGAAGTCTGTGGACGCTTCTAGGGCCCAAGGGGCAAAATCCAGGGAGCTGGATGTCAAGGGGGTGCTGAACTACTGTGTGCAGCAGCCCCTGGCAGCAGAACTCTTCTTTAGTGGGAACTGAAGGTTGTGATGGGCTATGAACTAACCATATAAAACGTTTAGGAAATCCATTACAGCAGACATTTGGAAACAGGCAAGACGTGCAGCTGGAGCCTTCACTCCTTCTAGCTGGAAATTGTTATGGGAAGGACAAATATGCAAAGGGTGACTTTTCCGTGGCTCTTTTGTGACCCTCCTGTTCAGAACAACAGAGAGCTCTTTTTTACCTACTCCTCTGCCTTACAAACTTCTCTCCTTACCTGTCCTGCTGCTTTCCCTGCCGTTTCCTCATGCTCCCTTCCTTATCCCTACACCAGTTGGTTATAAGGCAATGAAGGGATGGGTTAACCCCTTCCTTTTCTCAGGCTCTGTGAGTGCTCCCACTTTCAGAGGCTCTTGGTGGGGCTATAGCTTAATTTGGTGTAGCAGAGTTAACCGTCAAGCAGGCAGTGAATTGCAGCTGTTGGAATGAAACCATGTACTGTGCCGATGGCGATCTGACCCAAAGGCAACCCACAAGTTCTGAACAATAGCAGCATATAGCAAGACAGAACACACTAATTTCCCCAATAGGAGTAATTACTGTAGAAATGTAATATGCAGCCTGTTGAGCTGATAAGATTCAATCTACCTTACTACCTTACTACTGCCAGTCCAATAGTCTCTAACAGGTCACAGGAGTTGGTGTAAAAGTTGTGTTGAGATTTGTAAATGAGACAGTATAAAGAAGCAGTCATTTTTAGGTGATAATTGAACACATCAGCAAGAGGGATCTTCTTGCTATCTCCCAGAATGACCTTACAAATAAGCTCCAGTAACCAAAATAGGAAAATTTCTATCCTATAAGAGAAAGTATACCTGTCCACATGTACCTGTAAAAGTTAAAGCATCCACAGGAAATACATCTATTTGCATGTGCCAGCATGCTGTAAGACTAGTGTTAGGAAGCAGAAGTGCAATTTTTAAAGGTATGTAACATGGTTACAGAATGAAACAAAAAATAATAGACAAGAAAAAAAAGTCTTTTGCAGGTAGTACTTCTCTTGCTTTGCAGAGTACTCAGTTCTGTTTATTACTTATATATATATAAAATAAATATCCTGAGTAAGGAGCCTTGCAAGCAATGGAAACTCCTGGGACGATGCTCAGCCTTCATGTGGTAGAGTGGAGTTTTTGTGTAACTGGACACAGTTACATGGCTGGATTCCCTGAGTTTGCTGCAAAACTGGAGAGGGCACTGTGGGCTCTGTTTTAAGTTTCCTAATCCTACTTCACAGAAAATCAAATGTTTGATGAATTTGAATACTTCATTTTCACTCATTTAGCTTTCAACCACAACATATCCCTGAAGTGTGGAGTGTCATTGACAACAAATGAAACTCTTTATTTTGGTCTCTTCCTATTGAAGTACCATTGACTTTGATCGAGGCAGTCTTGAGCCCTTTGTCACATAAGGAGGTTCAACTAAACAACTGTTAACTGACAAGCCACCTAAAAATGTAAAACTGTGTTTCTAAGACACATAAAGCCATTACAATGACTTATCATGACTACAGTCATATGGCTTTTAGCGAGCATATAATTCACCAAATGAATAAAGGCTGCATGCAATTTCATCGCAAAGCTTAGGCAAAATTCAAAATCACCCCCTTTCCTTTCAGCTGTTTAGGTTCTTAGCATGTGTTTCTTATTTCCTATTTTCTTTTGCATACCTTTTAAAATTCTTAATGTGTTCCTCTGTAGAAAAGCTGTGTTCTTATCCTGAAGTGCTGTAATCCTCAGACTTGTGTTAGGAAATTCCATTTTAAAGTTGATCTTAGTATGTTTTGTTGTTTGTTTTGTCTGTAAGGGAAGAATGAGCATCTTGGAGAATACGGCTTTTTTGTGTGTGTGTACCATGCAGAATAAAGAAAACAAGTGTACAGAGTCCGCAGGCTGGGAGTGTATCAGTTAATTAGTGGCTGGACATTGCTCGGTAGGAAGCCTGGCGAGGATTTTTTGTGCGTGTGTGTATGTGTGTTGTCTGCTCCCTTTGATCACTTGTGTGGTAAATAGACATGCAGGGTAGCTATAGCAACATGTGCTGTAGGTTGGTGGGAACAGAGGGGATGGGATCCCTGGACAAAGGGTAGTTTGTTAGAGCGGTTGGTTCTGATTAGAAAAAGGTGGCACCAATCAGGGCATTTAAAAACATCAGTTTTACAAAACTCAAATGGATGTTATCAGTTTCAAAGTAACGCTTGTTTCTGTAGCTCTGCAAGAGTAGATCATAGGGAAGATTGGGAAGGAAGGGGGAGGGATAATAAAAAGCAGAAGCAAAACCCTTTTACACTTTTGAATGTAAAAATGTTCATGCTATTTCTTGTGTTGCTGCACTGCCTATGTAGCTTGCAAAAAAAACCCATTTGTAGCAACCAAATTGCCACAGATGATGCTTCAAAGAGTTGTGGTTTTAAAACATGGTTCCAGGAGGCAATGATGATAATGATGTTATGTAGCGCATCTGATCCATTGCCTTTCTCTAATTTCTAAAAGTTTTGTGTACAATTTGAAATCCCAAGGTACTGTACCTATTTCAGCAGCCTTCCTGTAGAGGTCAGACTTGAAGCTCTCAAAATTTTCTCGTGATAGAATTTCAACCTAAAGCTATAAAAATACAAATCCAGGCATAGCCAGTTTCCTCATTAACTTTATGTAGAATACTTTTAAAATAATATTGGTTTGTCAGTGTTGGATTATTAAGTAACACTGCATTCTGCATTAATGGCAGCCTGAAATACATTGAAATTCAGCTTCATCTCACATTGTGAACAGAACCCAACCTAAAGCTTTTATTAGCGCCTGAATTATTTAGATGTGTATCTCTGTTTCTCTGATCCCCACTAGGCCTCCTACCTTTGATGAGATCTGTCTCCAGCTCCCTCCCTCCTGCCTGCCCAGCCCTCTGCTGTGCTGGTTGCTGGCTTCCCACCACTGCCTGGTCCCAGGACTTTCCCATTGGGGAGGGCCAGGGAGGCAGGCAGTGCCACAGAGAGCTTCAACAGCTTCTGAGCTCTGCAAAAAGTTGTCAGACCTCAGAGTCTCTCCACAGAGTAGCACC